CCAAGCGGGGATTTTGCATGTGAAACAAACGTGCGTCAGAAAGACTCGGTAGACAATGAATATTTGCGTCAGAGTTGCAAAAATGTGAGTAAAAAACGTAAAAAATTGCGTTAACGCCACCTCTGGGCACATTATCTATTTACTCATTGTGAACATCCAGCGAGTGTAATCCTAAAAGGAAACTCAATCTTGTTTGTATACTGTGGTCACATGATCTGATTAAGCATTTTGTTTTAAAGCATTGTAGTTTTATGAATTAATTGATTTCTTTTACACCAACTAACATTTTTCTGATTTGTGCAGCAGACTGTATGTATTTTTGATTTGGCAAGTTCAGGCATCCTGTGACTTATTTAAAGATGTTAGTAGTAATGATGCTCTTTTAAGAAGCTAAGTCAAACTAATGTTGGATATAACGTAAGAGACCATGTTGAAAAAGTTATTTGACTGTCTATTCTATAGCCACACAATGGTTACCTACAAGCACCAGCTCAAGTTGGCTTTTCCCGGAGCTGTGCTCTAGGCTGTCTATGTATAATTGTGAATTCAAGTTGGCTTTTCCTGGAGCTGTGCTCTAGGCTGTCTATGTATAATTGAGAATTCAAGTTGGCTTTTCCTGGAGCTGTGCTCTAGGCTGTCTATGTATAATTGTGAATTCAAGTTGGCTTTTCTTGGAGCTGTGCTCTAGGCTGTCTATGTATAATTGTGAATTCAAGTTGGCTTTTCCCGGAGCTGTGCTTAGGCTGTCTATGTATAATTGTGAATTGGCAACTTCTAACAATCCTTATCTAATAACCATCAGTATAATACAGCCAGCCAGGTACAAGAGAGATAATATATAAAAATAGGACAACATTTTATTTTTAACCTTTGACTGAGTATGATATATGCTTATAGGATGTTTGACCTTGATATTATTATATAATGACCATGGGCAGTCCAAAGTAGCCATCTTCCTTATATAAAGATTGGAGCTTGCAGTGAAATAATTACATGTATTGAAATGTTATATAATATTAACCGTGTGCAATATATTAAAACCTGTACTTGGACTAGGTACATGTAGGTTGGTTTGAGTTAAGTTAGGGTTTTCTAGTCTAATGTACATCTACATGATGAGAATTTTTCAGCAATTTTCATGATTAGAGTTACAAATAATGATGAAATAAGAAGTATTTTTATATCTTATATGGATATATACATGATATTGTAGAATACATTGTTCATGATCAAAATATTTATATTACATGTTAAGATGACGTTTCCCCAATTTTATTTACCACCAGAAGTGGTGCATTCGGCATCAGTAACAAATGACAGGCAGTGACATTTTGCATGTTAACACCTTGTTTGAATTGTAATGAAGTCCCCATTCAGCATCAGTAACAAATGGCAGGTGGTGGCATTTTGCATGTTAACACCTTGTTTGGATTGTATTGAAGTCCCCATTCAGCATCAGTAACAAATGGGAGGTGGTGGCATTTTGCATGTTAACACCTTGTTTGAATTGTATTGAAGTCCCCTAATTTTTATCTGTATTATCTCATACTTCTATCTACAAATACAGTAAAACCTGTCTAATCCAAACACCTTGGATTGGTCAAAAGTGTTTGGAGTAGCAGACGGTTATAGCTCAAGGTTTTATAAACATATAAGTCAATGGAAGATAACAAAAATCTGACCAAGAAAAAGTGTTCCCATTGAGAGGTGTTCGGATTAGAGAGGTGTTCAGATATACAGGTTTCACTGTTCTGTATCTTCATTATGAATTATTACCAGAATATTTCAAGGTCTAGTTGAAATGCACAGCTGTACTAATATAGTCTCTAGTTCTATTCATAGCCATATATTGATTTACCAGTATGATATTGATGATGCTTTCTTTAGATTGTGAATTATCTGATAATTGTCAAATGAGTAGACACCATATTTTTTCTTCATAGAATGCTTTGACCAAGGCTCTGATGTAAAATTCAGAGGATTTAAATAACTGGGTGATATTATTAAGTAGTCAGAGATTTATTGAGGCAAGTCATTTAAGTGTGCAAGATTTTTCCCATATTGTAATTGTATGGTTAATCTAATGGGATGTTCTCAGGACTATTGTCCTGGCACCAGATAAATGCAGCCATATAGGTCATAAGGGCATGTAGGTCATGTAAATCATAAAGTCAGGTTGGTTGTACAGTCATGGAGGTCATGCAGTTATGTAGGTCATAGGATCATATAGGTCATGTTGGTCATAGGGTCATATAGGTCATGTCAGTCATATAGTCACATAGGTCATAGGGTCATATAGGTCATGTCAGTCATATAGTCACATAGGTCATAGGGTCATATAGGTCATGTCAGTCATATAGTCATGTAGGTCATATAGGTCATATAGTCATGTAGGTCATATAGGTCATGTTAGTCATATAGTCACATAGGTCATAGGGTCATATAGGTCATGTCAGTCATATAGTCACATAGGTCATAGGGTCATATAGGTCATGTCAGTCATATAGTCACATAGGTCATAGGGTCATATAGGTCATGTCAGTCATATAGTCATGTAGGTCATATAGGTCATATAGTCATGTAGGTCATATAGGTCATGTTAGTCATATAGTCACATAGGTCATAGGGTCATATAGGTCATGTCAGTCATATAGTCATATAGATCATAAGGTCATGACTCTGACTCATCATAAAGGTCATGTATTTTGAATCATCTCAATAGGCATATTTATTCTGCAATTTCCAGTGTAATGAAAGAAACCATTGGCTTTCTACAAGGATATAACTACCTCCTACCTCCTGGAGGAAGTCATTTTTTTTTAGATAAGTTAAAGGAAAGATATGAAAGCATTCTGTGCCTTGTTACTCTAACATAACTGCACCATATTTGGTGCACCATATAGCTGCACCATATTTGCTGCACCATTTAAGCACACAATTAAAGAAGATATTGAAAATGCACCATGGATGCAATCAGAATCAAAGTGCATTTTGCTTTAACTATATGAAAGAAAAGGAATGAAGAAAATTCAAATGTTAGCTTTACAGGCCAAACAGCGAACACTATATAATATAAGAGTTGATTCTATAGCAAGGGGGAGATTGGTGATTAAATATTCAAATGTATTGCCGCTATGCTATTTATAGCTTGCATTGCTATTTTTAGTATGCTATGTCAACGATATTGGCTATAAGGCTGTATAGGCTGAATATATAGCAGGACTATGCTAGTCTCTAGCCAAGGAACTCATGATAATATAATAAACCTTTGGTAATAAACTAGACTTCTCTATAGAACGAGCCCTGGCTTATAGCTCAGTGTACGAGTTATGTTATGGTGATGTTCTCCCATTATTTAGTTGCAATATTATTTCACCCAGATTTCTTATACATGTACGTATATCATTTTAGATTTTAGCAATGCTATACTGTGGGTGCCTACTAAAGCTTCTTCCTTTGGCCTCACCTCCCCCCTTAGAGCCATCCCACGTAGAACATACCCTCTCTTCTGAAAAGTACAACATGAAATATGTACATAAAACATAATATTGATTATCCCATTTCCGGTCTTGTATCTGCTACATACTGCTGGAGAGTATCAGACTATAGGCTTATATAAGCATATACTTCAACAGTGTTATAAAATACCTCCATATTAACTAGATGAGCTTTTATAAGAAGTCAGTGATCTCAACAGGATTTTTTTTTCAAGTGGGTGCAAATGAAATCTCAGGTGGGTGCAAGCCTATTTTTAAAATCTCAGGTGCGTGCTGGGCCCACATGGTTTAATGCTGGGGAGATCACTGGAAGTAATCATATATGGTTTCATTTTAGGTTATCAACAAATCAAAAAATTAAAATTTCCTAAAAGGTGATGAAAGCTGCGTTTGAGATTATTAAGATTTGACCATCAAAAACTGTAAAATTATTGGCTCAATTGATATTTGTATAATTTAGCCAGCCTATTGGGATTGGAGTCACAATTTTCTGTATTATGTATAGCTGAAATACTTTAAGGTCTGATGTTTCCAGGGTAATCGCCATCAGTAGTATAATGACATGGATTTTATGCAGTAGATAGATGGATGAAATGTTGATTCAATTCTTGCTATTATGGTGATATCAATTAAGTATACAGGAATATCCAATAACTCAATGAACTTGTGTCATGTGCTTATTTGCCATTAAATACATGCACACAAGGATGTACATTGTAATTGCTATCTGATCTCCAGTGGTATGTTCATGTTAATATTGTGTGTGACAACCAGTTGCTATGGGAATGTTGTGTGCGATTGCGAGTTTCTATGGAGAATGTTATGTGTGACAATGAGTTGATGTATGGAAAATGTTGTATGTAACAATGAGTTGTTAGACAGATTCTTGTGTGTGAAAGTGAGTTGTTATGGAGAATGTAACATTTTACGAGTTGATATGGAAAATGATGTGTGTGACAATTGGTTGCTAGATAGATTGTTGTGTGTGACAATGAGTTGCTAGATAGATTGTTGTATGTAACAGTGAGTTGTTATGGTGATATGGATACAACATGATATGGAAAATGATGTTTGTGACAATGAGTAGCTATGGGGAATTTTTGTGATTACAAGTTTTTATGGAGAATGTTACATGTGACAGTGAGTTACTAGACAGATTGTTGTGTGTGACAGGAAATTGTCAAATGTTACGTTTTACGAGTTGATATGGAAAATGATATGTGTGACAATTGGTTGCTAGATAGATTGTTGTGTGTGACAGTGAGTTGCTATGCAGAATTTAGTGTGTGACGGTGAGTTACCAAATAGAATGTTGTGTTTGATAGTGAATAGTGTCTCTGACAGGAAGTTGCAATTGGGTGATAATACCTATAATTATAGCTGTTTGAATGATGAATAGAATTATAAGGTCAACGTTTTTGAACAAAATTTGTTAAAAATTATTACTGAAAATGTTATATTATGTTGCAACAAATATTTAAACTTTCGTTTTTTATTTTCAGTTTTTTTGGATAAAGTACATTTAATAAAGATGCCTGACTATACACCATCTGAGCAAGTAAGTGCTATGGAATATTTCTTTATTACCTTTATACCTATGGATCTTTCAAAAGTTTTTGATATTTTTAATATTACTAGAGATGTGTTCAGATGTGTGTCACATCTGTTGTTTAATCTGAAACCTCTACTGTTCCTTTAATATATATCTCTCACTAGCTAAAATAGGGTCATGATGAACAAAATGGAAAATATGTGAATTAAGTAATTTAGGTATACATACAAAATGTTTCCCTGGACGTACATAGCAACCTGTCCCTGAAACACATCTGCCCTCTTTCTGTCATATTTGAAACTATCACATTTCTAGTTTGAATTTTTGCAGAACTGTAAAAACTGTGACTGGCTTCATTTACAAGTTCCATGTTTTTTTCCACTTTGGTGCCCTTGCCCATATTCTATGTTTGTCTTTTTTCTTTGTTTACCCCTTCCTTTGGCATAGCCTGTTCTTTCCCCTGCTTTACTCTATTCTTATCCCCTTCCCTACTTCATTTAGATTATACATTAAACAATATCAGAAGTTTCCTTAGAAGAACGTAATCTTTATTTCATTATTTTATTTTCAGGATATATTGAGGTGTCGAGTCCTTACATCAGGTATTTTTGAAACCAAGTTTTCAGTGGACAAAGTCAATTTTCAGTAAGTACATATTCATATATTAGAACATTATGTCACCACCGCAAGTGGTGACATATAGTTATAGTCTCCAACTTTTTTGTGGAGGGTGTTTGGTGTCGTTAACAAATGCTGTCTGTAACAAATGGCAGGTGGTGACATTTTGCATGTTAATGCCTGCCTTTTTTCTGATATTTATCTTTGTCTCTAAAATGCAAGATTTCAGTGTGTCTTATTGATCAGACCCTAAGATTCAGAATAATTGGTACAAGTGCAAGGACTTGTAAGTAAAAATTTTGCAAGTCCATCCAAGGAAATACAAGCCAATTATTGTAAAATTCAAAGTTACAAGTTCAAAAAATCACATACTTTATTCTCTCGGGTGCTTAGAAAATTCAAAATACTTCCTTTAGACCATTCTAATAAGCTCCCAAAAGAAATAAGTAAAAATGGGAATTTTATGTATTAGTTACAAAATTATGCCATTATGGGTTACTTAACCATGTCACTATTATGAGTTACTAAACCATGCCATTGTGGGTTACTTAACCATGCCACTATTATGGGTTACTAAACCATGCCATTGTGGGTTACTGAACCATGCCACTATTATGGGTTACTAAACCATGCCATTAATGGTTACTGAACCATGCCATTATGGGTTATTAAAATATATCATTATGGTTTACTTAACTGAGCCATTATGGGTTACATCACTCCCTATAGATCTGATTATGCCTTTGAGCATGGCACATCAACAGAAATGAATATTGAAAAAAAAGTTATAAAACCCATATACAGTTAATTTCAACTCATCACTGTTAATTTGCTAGAATATATGATAGCATTGAACAGTCATAAAACATAGCAAACTGGCATCTTGGATGTCCCGTTTGAAATGTTTGTATGGTTGCCTGTTGCATCATTTTTTGCAAGTTTGTGGTAATGGCACCTACATAAAAAAGGTGTATGATTGACCAGATCTAAAAATATTATACAAATTAACAACTACAAGTTAGGGCTGGCACAGAGATGAATAATTGAAAGATTTGCATGATTTGTGAAACAACCTGTATGTGAAAGTCATGTTCTTGGTTCATTTATTTATATAGGTATGGGTTATATGTGAGAAAATGGGATGCATCAAGTCATCTCATTATATTTATAAATAGACTCGCTGATGCAATTATGTCTCTCTCTTGTACTAAATATAACCTCATGCTATTGTATACTTATTACTATCATGATCTTGCTTTATGGGGTTTCTCTTAATCCAATATTTAGTCTAAAAATGGCCTCTCTTGAAATTAAGGGGTAAATAAAAATATAAAATAAATACCATATTAAGATCATTTTACGATTTATTCGCTTTGTATAATTGTCGTTTGTAGTATTTTATTCATCAAGTTATGTAGCATTTCAAGGACATTCTGCTCAGGCCTTGAATATTGTATCGCAGTTGACTTGATGTTAAAAATAGAAGATATATTGAGGAAATGTTTGATTTGGGAGAGTGTTTATTCTCAAGCACTATAGAAATTAGGATTTTGACATTTACTTTTAAGTTCATCTTTTTTCTTGTTCTATTATATGTTTTATTTGGTTACTTTTTTTCTGCGAGTCCATAACGACAAATCAATAGTTATCCTTGAACCTCTAATTTCACCTGAATAGCATAATTGTAGCAGAAATATGTCAGATTTTGTATCCAAATATCTTCAGTTGGAGAAAAACAAAATTTAATTTCTTCATGCTATCCCCCGCTGTTGATAACACTTTTTCAACAAAATGAAATATCTTTTGAAAATTTCTGTTTAAAATGAGCATATAAAAGCCAGTCTGAAGTACCAAATTCAGGAACACATATTTTATATTTTTGTTATCCCATCGAACGAAGTTCGGAGGGATATAGGGAACGCCTCCGTCCGTCCGTCCGTCCGTCCGTCCGTCCGTCCGTCCGTCCGTCCGTCCGTACGTCCGTCCGTCCGTCCGTCCGTCCGTACGTCCGTCCGTCCGTCCGTCCGTCTGGGCAATAACTCAAATACCGTTGGCCCGATTCTATTCATATTTTGTATACAAATACCCTATGGGGGTAGAAGTTCTGCTCGAAAGCCGATTTTCAAAATGGCCGCTCATTTAAAAATGGCGGCCATTTTAGTGCCGATTTTACAGTAATTTAGGTGCAAAATGTAAAACTGTAATAGCAATATGTTTTAAATGTAAAAAAAATTATAAAGGACATTAATAAAGCTAGAAATGTAGATATTAAAAAAGCACATGGCAGCCATCTTGAAAAATGGCGGCCTTTTCTCGTATTTACGATTTTTGCTGTAACTCGAAAAGTAGTGGAGCGATTTTGTTCATATTTGGTATGTGAATACTATAAGCATGGCACACTGTCTAATGACACTTTGGTAGAAGGCGGCCATTTTGAAAAATGGCGGACATTTTGAAAAATGGCCGCCATTTTAACTATTTTACTAAAACTCGAAAAGTAATAGAGCGATTTTGTTCATATTTGGTATGTGAATACGTATAAGCATGGCACACTGTTAATAACACTTTTGGTAGAGGGCGGTCATTTTCAAAATGGCCGCCATTTTAACGTATTGTACTATAACTCGAAAAGTAGTGGAGCGATTTTGTTCATATCGGTATGTGAATACTGTAAGCATGGCACACTGTCTAATGACACTTTGGTAGAAGGCGGCCATTTTGAAAAATGGCGGACATTTTGAAAATGGCTGCCATTTTAACTATTTTACTATAACTCGAAAAGTAGTGGAGCGATTTTGTTCATATTTGGTACGTGAATACGTATAAGCATGGCACACTGTCTAATGACACTTTTGGTAGAAGGCGGCATTTTTCAAAATGGCCGCCATTTTAACGTATTTACTATAACTCGAAAAGTAGTGGAGCGATTTTGTTCATATTTGGTATGTGAATACTATAAGCATGGCACACTGTCTAATGAGACTTTAGTAGAAGGCGGGCATTTTTCAAAATGGCCACCATTTTAACGTATTTTACTATAACTCGAAAAGTAGTGGAGCGATTTTGTTCATATTTGGTATGTGAATATTATAAGCATGGCACACTGTCTAATGACACTTTTGGTAGAAGGTGCCCCTTTTGAAAAATGTTCGATGGGATTCGCTACGCTTTGGCGTTGCCGTTGTTCTGGTTTTTGAATGAATAGTCTCAGTGCTTTTGCCCCTAAAATGGGCCTATAGAACCACATTATCATCCGTCAGACTGTCAAAACTTCAACAACTTTAACACAAACATACAGAAAATGACATTCATCTGAACCAATATTCATATATATTTTATGTGTGTTCATGCTCTTAATTTCTCCATTGGAGAAAAAGCTTCTACTTTTGGCTTATTTTGGAGAAATCAGCCTTCTCTCTATGTAGGCTCATCAAATGGTGCTATTTTTGTTAAAATGAGAATTTTTATGGCATCCATCATGCCTTAAACACAAAATATAAAATAAGATTTCAGCACGTAAATATATGTAACTTAGTTGAGGAAAAGGTCTTTCACGTCTAATGATGATTTTTTTATTTACAATTTTAGATTTTAGAAACTATACAATAAATAAATGGCATTAAGTTGGGCTCTTAGTTTGTCATAATCAAACAGTTGACTATTAGGCTCCAGAGTTTATTTAAAGGTAGCACAATACAGTCTTAGTAGAACAATGTTTACTTGAATTCAGCTTCAGAATAGAAATTTTGCGTTGCCAAAATAAATAGCCTAGAAATCTTTCAACAAAAATTGTAAAATTTGTACTAGGGTATCTGTCCTAGTATGTATTGAGTACAATTATAATATGAAAGAAAAGACCAATATAAATGAAACGTCTACTTGGTGTCATATATAGACTAATGTGAAGTCATGCATCCATTATTTCGTTCATTTCTACTTCCGTATTGTGTTATATAACAAACATTTCATGTGTAGTAAATTTAAAAAATTAGCCTGATTTTATTCTGCGTGCTAGTACAATAAGATAAAATGTAGGGGCTTTAACTAAATATTCTAAAATAGTGACATTTTTATTATATATTACGTGACGTGACATATTGTTTTGGCTTCCTCCTTTGTACTTGGCATGGGCTTCTGTAACAGTAATGTAATAATTCAACAATGTTTAACTGAAGGAAAATGCTAGACAATATATATTACCAAGGCAACTTGATATGGGTATATCATATTGTAACTAAAAATAATTGTAAATTTTCGAGACAAAGGTCAGATCAATGAGAAACTTATTCAATGAATACATAACGATGATACGTACAGTAAAACCCATCTAATCTGAACGCCTCTGGATCGGCCTAAGTGTTTGGATGAGCAGGTTCACATTTCAAGGTTTTATGTACATGTATGTCGATGTGAGATGATAAATCTAGGACCGAGCAAAATTTTCACATTGAGAGCTTTTGGATTAGAGAGGTGTTCAGATATAAAGGTTACACCGTAGTTATGTAAGTGAAGACGTAAAGCAATATCTGTTATAGTTTCATTGACAAAGAATTATTGGACTAATCTGATTGACTTTAAACATGTAGGCATGTTCCTTAAAAACAGAATTTGCAAATATCCATTATGAAGACAATGGTACAATAATCATGTTATACCCAATTTCCGTGCAAAATGTGTTATGTCATTCATTCATCATGATATATGAAAAGATTTATACATGTGTAAGTCCATGGTTTTGATATGAAACTAACACCTAATGTTAACTAATATCTAACTCAAAATTAGCAATGTGTTATTTTGTACCAGACACAAAATTTTAATTTTTTTAATAATATTTTTTATGTATCACCCATTTATTGATATGTTAAACTTTTATATTATTAAGTATAATAATAGATTTAAAATGAGTTCCTCTTTATTTACAGTATGTTTGATGTCGGAGGGCAGAGAGATGAGCGGCGTAAATGGATACAATGTTTTAACGACGTCACAGCTATTATCTTTGTAACAGCATGCAGTAGCTATAACTTAGTTCTTCGGAAGATCCAAGTCAGAATAGGCTCAAGGAATCCCTGGAACCTTTTAAAGTATCTGGAACAACGGTAAGTTTCATTTAAAGATCTGAATTATTTTCTGTAACAAAAGTAAAATTATTTTGGTTGGTGAACAACTAGTTTTGGGAACCAACCAGTCATTAATCTGGACCAGTTAGTTTTCTGGACCTTAACTAGTCAGTTATCTGGACCTTAACTGGTCAATTATCTTGACAATCCAGTAAGTGTCTGGACCAGTCAATAAGTTATCTGACCCAGTAAGTTTATTTGGACATGGACTAGTCTTAACTGGACCAGTCAGTTCCCCATCTGGATCACTTGTTAAGTTACTGGGACTACTTTATGTATCTGACAAACAGTGTGGAAGACAACCAGTAACATCACACATCTATAAATAATTCTGTAAAATAAAACTAAAATTAAAATCTACATTATACTGGATGTAAGAAACTTTTTTTTCAAGTTGAACATAATGTATGCACATTGACGATGAATGATAATAGCACCCTGAAACATATTTATCCAAATTATTAGAATTGTGCCTAAGTAATTATGTAAAACATCTATTATAGGTGGTTGCGGACTATATCAGTAATCCTATTCCTAAACAAGCAAGATTTACTCAAAGAAAAAGTAAAAGCTGGAAAATCAAAAATCGAGGATTATTCCCAGATTATGCCCGATATACAACCCCACATGACGGTAAGAACAAAAAAAAATTAAAAGGACTTGTTCCATTGCATTGGTTGTATCAAGATGGGTTTTGAAATCAAACAGAGGCTAAGTAATTTTTTACATTGTATTAAACCTAAGTCAATGAATAATACATCAGCCCCTAGCATAGCATTTAATTAATTCTCTGTTTTCAATTCTGGCTACTGATTTGATATAATCCAACCAGGTCAAATTTGTTAGTATTATGTTATCTTATATATTGTATATAATATGCACATATATGCACAGTATACAGTATATATAGCTATATTCTGTGTTTTATGAGCTATTTGTATTATGGTCCCACTTTATTCTGTCTTTAGGAGCTATTTGTATCATGGTCCCATTTTAATCTAATTAATGAGGTATTGGTATTACTGTCCCACCTTAATCTGTGTATATGACCTATCCACAGTCCCACATTAATCAGTGTTAATGAACATTGTATCATGGTCCCACTTTAATCTTTGTTCATAGGGTACTGGTTTCTATCATGCCTGTATCATGTGCCATTTGGGTACACTAAAGCACTTAAATCATGGATTTTTCTCTATTAATGTGCTAAATAACATAATAAACCATTGATTTCTATGTGCCCTTTTGAATAAATATAACCGTGTTCTGTATTCCACGTGAAAATGTCTTACATCTGATTGGTTCGATGTAAATTTCAGAAAATAGGTGTTTGAATAATCATTACTTTTGCCAAGTTGCTACCTCAGTTATGAAACATGGATTTGTCATATCGAGTCCTGTAAATCCTTGGTTTGCCATGTTCCTTCTTATGTAATTGTCCTTATTTGTCTAAATAATTTCCCACTATTCATTTTGAACAGAAATGGGGCATTAAATTATATTTTTATAATGACTGTTTTATCTCCACCAATATATTTCTTTAATCAACGCAAGTATTTTGATATATTTTATCACAAAATATAATCTTGCAATTTCAAACACATTAATTGAGTAAAGTGACTATCAACATTTCATTTTCTGGATATGAATTTACATGCAGGGCAGGAATATAGGAGTTGTTTGTTAATAACATGCAGTTATTGCACCTCAGTAGGGCCCTACTCAATTCCTTGCTCTATGTGTACTTATTATAGTAAAAATCACTGTACATGTCCATTGTGTATAGAGCCCTGTATTATAGAGCTCTGTATTTTTTAGCATTTAAGTCTAAAATCACTGTCCATTTTGTATAGAGCTCTGTATTTTTTTAGCATATAAGTCTAAAATCACTGTCTATTGTATATAGAGCCCTGTATTAATAGAGCTCTGTATCTTTTAGCTTTTAGTCTTAACTCAATGTCTATTGTATATAGAGCCTGTATTGATAGAGCTCTTTATTTTTTAGCTTCTAAGTCTATTGAGAGCTCTGTATGTACTTTGACTCATATGATCTAACTGATCATGATTATCCTATATAATTTCTTATTTATTTCTGAACATGTGTATGATTTTTCTGGTCTTTTATGATTAAATAAATAAAGACACCTTGTTTATTATATACAAGAAAGCATTTTAAGGAGTTAGTTTATTGAAGATATAAGATGTGAAAGTCCAAGTTTATAAGTTAATCCCTTACATTCATTGGAATATTTATCTATTATGAGTGTCGGTGGGGGTGGACAGCAGAAATTATAATTTAAAATAACAATTATATCTAACTCTCTTTCTGCATTTAGAATGTAATTTGATGAGCTTTATTATGATCGAACAATTGTTCATTGTTGACACATTAGTGCCTCATGAAGGTTGATCAGAAAAACACCCCCCGCTTCATCTACATGTATCTGAGAGGGTGCTAATCAGGACTATTCGTAACTCTGTTTATTATAACTTTTTGTGGGAGGTCTTGTTGTTTGTAAAGTGAAACACACTTGTCTGCTCATGGTTTTCTCTCTCATTGTTGCAATTTCTTTCTTTTTTAAATTGAATGAATTCAATGGCATAGCAAGCCTAGTAGATGCAATGCTCACCAATTTTATAGAATGGTAATATTATTTTCCACTAAACTCAAGTTTGCCTGGCATTTGAATTTGCCTCGCCAGCTTCAAGATTGTGTCTTCTACTGTCCTACAACTCTTGTCTTTTCTATGTCATTTTAGATTTTTTAAACGTGACCACTGTGAAGGTTCATTTCATTTCTCCTTGAAAATATCATTATATAGTGATATTTTACACATTTTTTTGTGTAATAACTGCAAATATATATATTTTTTATATAATGACTATAAATCTTAATAATTATGTATACTTCTGGTGTATTTCCCCTGTCTGACCTAATGAACTAATTAATTTATACTCCATAATGTGAGTCAGACTCTGTAATGTTATTATTATCTTTGGGCAGGTAATTTATATTACTCATATATTCACATATAAGCAGTTG